ATGCATAAGTACTCTTATTCAGATACAAAACGACGGGAAGCTAAAAAAATCGTCAAATGCTTTTTAGTAGTCCAAAGTTCAAGACCCAATGCAACCTGTATCATGATTAATGATGATTGTGACAACTGATGTTTTTGTCACCTTCTGAATATAGAAAGTGGACGATTAAAAAATGTGTCCGGGCCCACAGCTAAATAACCTTCCATTGTGTCTTCCAATGCTCCTTTGTACTAATTGAATAATGAAAAATGACAATATCTAGCAGCCATGGCCTAGAACGACCTATTTGTTCTTAATGTCATGGCCACCTGTTTTAGGATCACTTACAGCGGCATTAGAAACTTCAACTCCCCCGTGTATGCATACTTAAGCATTCTCATTCAGACACAAAACGACGGGAAGCTAAAAAATCGTCAAATGCTTTTTAGTAGTCCAAGGTTCATGACCCCATGCAACCTGTATTATGATTAATGATGATTGCCACACTGTTACTACTTCCGAGCATGAACAGTTGTGCAAAGGTGAGGTAGAAGGCAATTTCAGCGGGATTCTGAGCCGGAATACGCGAGTCATATTGAAAGCTGCGGACGTTACGATAGAGTGACCCTTGCCCGCTTGCCGCGTTTACGACGTCCATAATTCAGCCAGAGGATCTGGCGTTTAACGCGAGAGCCGGTTATCGATTGCCAACACCTGTTCAAACTACGCCTATCTTTCCTCTCTCGTGTCTTTTTGATATACATGTTGACGAGGGAAGGGATTATTCGTCATCTTCGGTCAAGTGTAATCCTCCCCCAGCCAGGCTCGTATCACTATCTCCTCCAGCGAAATGTTAGAATAACGAGTGAATTAATGGGAAAATGTATTTTCAAATAGAACATTTCAATGTTTTGTCTTCGTATCTCCACCAGCCAAATCGTAGAATAATGAGTGAATTAATGGGAAAACGGAACTGTCGTAAAAGCAGAAGTATTTTCAAATAGAATATTTCAATGTTTTTGTCTTCGTATCTCCACCAGCCAAATGTTAAAATGAGTGAATTAATGGGAAAAGGGAACCATCGTAAACGCAGAAGTCTTTTCAAATAGAATATTTCAATGTTTTTGTCTTCGTATCTCCACCAGCTAAATGTTAGAATAACGAGTGAATTAATGGAAAAGGCAAGTGTGGTAAAAGCAGAAGGTTTTTAAAATAGAATATTTTATTTTAATGGTTTTGTCTTCGTATCTTCACCAGTCAAATGTTAGAATAATGAGTGAATAAATGGAAAAAGGGAACTGCTGTAAAAGCAGAGTTTTTTTTTTCAATTAAAATATTTCAATGTTGTTGTCTTCGTATCTCTACCAGCCAAATGTTAAAATAAGGAGTGAAATAATGGAAGAAAGGAACTGTCGTATTATAAAAGCAGTATTTTCAAAGCAGTAGTTTCAAATAGAATATTTTAATGCTTTTGTCTTCGTATCTCCACCAGCTAAATGTTAGAATGATGAGTGAATTAATGGGAAAAGGGAACTGTCGTAAAAGCAGAGGTCTTTTCAGATAGAATATTTCATTTTTTTGTCTTCGTATCTCCACCAGCTAAATGTTAGAATAATGAGTGAATTAATGGGAAAAGGGAACTGTCGTAAAAGCAGAGGTCTTTTCAGATAGAATATTTCATTTTTTTGTCTTCGTATCTCCACCAGCTAAATGTTAGAATAACGAGTGAATTAATGGGCAAAGGGAACTGTCGTAAAAACAGAAGCACACAAACGTAATACCGGGGAAGGAATTCGACAAATAAAAATTGCAAAAGCAATTGAGTTTTTGGCTGTAAATCAGCGACCAGGATTTGGTGACTTTACGAGTGCAGCAGACAAAGTGCACGTAATAAAAAAGCTACTTAATTCCCAAATGGCTCTCTCAGATATATACAAAGTACAGAAATATATTATCATGAATTCATTTATACAAAATAATAGTTACGTGGAAGATTAGTTGGATAACATGAACTCTTGAGGAGTGACATAAAAGCTTCGTGAGCTTTTAAAAGTGTTATATCATCTCCAGCCCACACCTAGTTACTGAGTGCTGAGAAAATCCGGCGGAGTAGCTATCACATTGACACACCTTGCAAAGGTCACATGCACCCGAGACTTATAAGCCCAAACATCCGTAGCGAGGTGTAGATAGCATGCAGTTGCACAAGTCAGATATCTGCATGTTTTAACGCCTACTTCTAGAGATAAAAGTTGAGTAACAGAGGAGGCGTTACAGATCCGAGGCAATCGGGCTGTAAAATAAAGTACGAACCATGCGTGGGCTGGAAAAAGTTTCCACGGGTCGGCAAACTTTTTTCTACTCTGTGGTCTTTTACTCCCCAGTCTATAGGCATCTGTATCTCTGTATCGGTATAGCCCTTCGGTGTAACACACCAATTTCGCAGGCACACCGCGCGGCGGCAGCTGGCTATACTAGATCGAACGGCTTGTTACACCAAATCCTTACACATTTTATTGCAGGAGTTGTTTAAAACTTTCTAGTGATGATGCCCCAACTGTGCTTGGTGGCAACGAGTTCCAGTTACGATAATTCTTGGATTTTAATTCTCTGTTGATAAGTCTGATATTTGAAGGCATTGCTATTTCTTGTTCACTTTGGTACATCATTGTTACATGGTTGGTACATCCAACAGTTTATTAGTCATTTTGTACATCATGCACAGTCTGGACATTTTTCGTCTGTCATTTAGGGACACTCACTGTAGGTTTATTTTAATTTCCGTGACACTAGCGTACCTTTTATACGTAATAGGACAATATGGATATGTCTCTATCGAACAAATAGAACCCTAATGCTTATAGTGTTATCTGATATTTTTATGGCTCTACGGTGCATACAACATTTACGAACATCTGGCAGGCTATGTAGGTCAATTCGATTGCTTATTACGCCCCAGGTATCCCATTGGTGGGATAAAATAGCGTAGTCATAAAAATATGATATAGCTAATGCTGAGGTAACAGTGCATGGATAGCCAATCTGGTAGGGTTTAGGTATATGGTGAGGCTGTCATGCTTGTTAACGTTCCATATCCTTCTTTTGGGTTGTATGAATGCTCACGGGTATTCTATATGTAGGAGAGTATAAACCATTTACCTTAGTATTCAGAAAGGGTAGAAGTTACAATGCTATGTATTAAAGGCATATCGGGGCACAAAACAAAAATATTCTGGATAAGCAAATCTGTCTGATGTTGACATTTCTTAGCCAATTTTAATCTTTATCTTTTTCATATATTTCAGGCGTTTGAAACAGCCCCAAAACAAGCCAAGTGAGGCATCTTTTTATTTTTTGGGTACCACCCATAAATAGTTAGAAAGAGCCTACAGTACAAAATAAGCAACAATTTCCTCTCAGCAACATTGCATTTTGCCTCACAGACATCAGTATGCTATGGGATAGGAATGATTCAACTTATTACATTAAAGGAATGACCGGAATTCCAGGAAATTGACTTTGAAAATGCAATTTTGTTGCCCTGGAATTTGCGTTTAAAATACATGAGCGTTAATGTCTTCATCTGGTAGTTTCACGACATTAGATGAATAGACGTAAAGGCCGTTTGTTTTCATATTTCAGTAATTATTTCAGGGTGGTGTTTTCCAGAGGGTACTTAAACGACGTACGCGAAACTGCACATGGGCCCCTTGAATGCCGTTCCGCTTTTGTGTTTAGGACCACAAAAAATAACCTTTGCTCTTTACAACCTCATGATCTATTTAGTTCACAACATGGAGGCCGCCATGGTTCAATTCAGTTTACAATCGTCCTACGGACGCCATATTGTTTCTTCAGCTCTCTGATATCAACACTTAATTATATGATTCATTATGCACGGTTGGGAATCTGAGTTTTCATATCATCACTGTTATTATCCCTTGATATATGTACAAAGTATAAATCACATAGCTATACTAATAATAAGGTACATCTTTTTCCACACTAAGGTAAAACATTATTCCTCGTAGAAGGTAATTGTTGTGTCCTTGGGAAAGGCACTTTTTACCTGTTTCCTCACTTGACTCAGGTGTAAATGAGTTAGTCTCCACCAGAATCCTTTGCAGGATGAATAAATAGTAGAAATTCGCTAAGGCGAACATCATTAGCCATAGGAGTCCAGCTTTCCTGCCGGCAGGCAAGCTGAACCCTCTATGGACGGCCAAATCCTCTGGCCAATGATGTTCCCATTAGCCGATTTCTACTATTTATTCAGCCTGCAAAGGAGTCTGATGGATACTATAAATGAGTACCTAGCTTCGGTTAGGGACGTCCTCTATGACAGGACGTAAAGCCAGAGGTCCTGTATTTAAGGAGATCCACACCTTGAGCACGCTAAAGATCCCATCACAACTATATGTTCCCGGTGTGAGTGGTTCAAACCTTAAAGTCTGGTCTCAGGTTTGACATCTTGAATAGGTAATTGTCCCCTGTTATGCCATCGTTCCACAAATGTGGTATAACTTCATATATAAATAGATAAATAAAAGATCACACTGGAGGAGGATGATAGCTATCCGTATCCATCACAGGTGAAAAACAAAGATACCTTTGGGTGTTCAATGTGACAAATGAACAATATGTTATTTGAACATATCATACATAATTAAATTTATATGTGTACTGAGGCTAGATGTTACTGGTTCACTGTGCACCAGCACGTCGGCACGAATGTACCTGCTCGCAATCCGCAATGTTTTCTGCATAGCAGATAGAACGTCTCATATAAGGTCATATAACACTCCGTCAATAGTTTCCAAATGTTATGTCGGAAAAAATATCGTCTGCAACAGGCAAAATTCTGACGTTGACAAAAATTCAAACAAAAAACGTGAAAAAGGTTTTGCGCAGGCGCAGTACGTTCTGCCGACGTGGACCGCAGCTAGATGCCACTGCTAACAATGCGGTCCCAAACGTAAAACAATAGTCACATATTTTACGACGGTTACTGAGAGACGAACCTTCATTGGTGGCTAACCGGCGGAAGGCCTCCACCCCCTTCTCCCCGTAGTTCCCTTCAGAAGCCACGGTGGAGACGTAGGTCCAGCCCAGGGTCTTGACGATGTCCACCATGGCCTGGGCCTGGTAACTGTCGGACGGGACCACCCGGGAGAAGTACTGGAACCGGGTCTTGTCACTCAACTCCTCACTGGTGGACGCGTAGCTGATCTGGGGAATCTGAAATTCGGAAACAAAACATTGAATTGCTTGTTTGAAATAAAAATATTTTACTTTTGTTGTAATCAAGTTAGTTATGTTTACCTTCGTAGAAGTAAAACGGTGTTTTTGTTTACTTTCTTCTTCTTTCTCCTTTTTTTTTTTCTCCAAACAAATAACGTCATTGACCTGGACCAGATGTCTGTCACTATGGTGACTGGTGCTGTAGCAGACACCCTGTGGTATTGGGTTGCATTTTGCAGCAGAAAAGAGGTGGAGAGGCTGCTTTCCGTACATATAAATGTATTTGAATCTCAGTGACAATTAACATTTTTTGGGCTAGATCAGAGACAAATGATACCTTTTTAGTTTGTAGTTGTGGTCCACTGTATATTGTGCTTGTCGAAAAATAGGGGAATTTCCCCGTTACAATGAGCCTGTAAATTCTGTACATAGCGTCTGTCTTCAACGTTATGACCAGTGGAAGATTAGCTCTTCAGTGAGCTAAAACTGAATCGAGATCACTTCTTCTCTTTTTCTTCTCAGTTTTATGGATGATTCAGGGTCAAGCATCGACGAAAGCACTGAATAAACAACTAATTAATATCATTAATCTATTTCACCAGTAGATTACACTCAGGGCTGTGGCCTGTTTTTAAGTTGCCCCTGAATACATAAGAAAAATGCATACTTAATAGATGGAAAATAATTGGTAATACAGTAAACATATACAGTCCTAAATGCGACGTATGTAATACATACGAAAACTATTTTCATATATGTTTATTGGATGCAAGGGATTAACAGGATTCCGGGAAAAGATTAACAAACTATAGCTAAAACACTGACATTAACATATTAACATATCTTCAGTAATCCTTTGCGACTTTTCAGGTCTGTACCCCAAATAAGCTAAATACGCGATATTTCTGTCTTGGAATAAATTCAAGGATAATTTTATTTTATTTTACTGAACAGGCATAATTCTACAAACTTGTGAAATGTATATGATCTGATGACAAATCAAAGTATGTCTATGGAATGAATTCGTGTGTACATTGTATGTAAAGATGCTTTAAATTTCTTCCTTTCTAGCTTGCTGAAGAAAACGAATAAAGTGCCTTGGACAGACACGGACTAGTTAAAAAAAGACGAATACATACATAATACATACTTAAGCAATAAAACATATTAACTACATTTGACATGAAACAGATAACTTCGACCTTATGTTCAAAACAAAACGGAATATAATACTAGTCCTAGTTTTTGCCTATTCTTCACTCCATCTAGTCTGTCGTTGATGTGTTCCTCTTGGGTTTTATTTATTTATTTATTTATTTATTGAAAATGCAACAAGACATTACACTGACTCTCAAGGCAGCAAAGCTGATGTTAGAGAGTCAACATATAAGGACAAAACATATAGGGCACATAATATCAACAGTATGAAATTACAAAAAAAATGATCATAAGAACCTATATCATTCCAATTAGCCGAGTAAATATATGTACACATCTAAAATAACACATTTGGAGGTCAGAGGTCGATAAAATAAGTCACAGTCAGACTACCTTATATGAGAAAAAAAAGGATACTAAATAACAAGGTTTAGAAAGGAACAGCTGGAAGTGCCTAGAAACGGTTTGTTGAAGTGATGTAAGTGTGGAAGGAGTGTGAGAGGCTTTCGTTTAATGTGATGTCATTGCCCGGGGACCCGTTGAGTAGAACGCTGGTGGAGAGGGGCCGTCTCACGAGGCGGTACACAGCGGTGGCAAGGTCTTGTCGTGCCGCTGCGTGCAGTGGGCAGTGCAGGAGGAAATGTGTGACTGTCTCCGAGGTTGCACCACAGGCACATCCCCGGCCGGTAAGGTTAAACTTGGCCAGCGTGGAGTTAAGCTGGCACCAGCCGATGCGGAGTCTCTTGGGTTTTTAAAGCCATTTTTCCATTCATCTTCTGGTGTATATCAATATATATTGACCTATGTTTAATTCATGGCCCTGCATCAATCCTCAGTACTGCCCTAGATTCAGAACAGAGAAGTATGACCCGAGCTTCCGCTGCTCGACCGTAACGAGAACAAACGTCTGCAGATACTTCCTATCATCCATATTCTGCAGCGTTTTGTTAGCCAGCTAGTCTTAAAGGCAGCCAATGCAATTTCAGAGCTGAAAAGCTTGAATACTTAACTAGAACAAGTAACATTTGCAAAGCAAACACATAATGTTTACCTTCGACATATGGTCTGCTTTGTTAATTCTTGCTCACATCCGTATATATGGTGACAGGTGTCTTACCGACCTCCCAACACTCCGCAAAAGACGTGAACTTGCGGCTGTCAAGCTGCTCAAGCGTATGCTCAGCCCTGACCACCCACTACATGATTTGGTACCGGGAGCCAGGTCGGACAGCACAGGGAGGTGTTTGAGGAACTCTGGGGGAATCACAGTGCCCATGGCACGGACAAACAGACTGTATAACTCATTCCTCCATTGCGCAATCAGACTGTACAATAGCGAATTGCAGACTTAGTGTTCTTTTGTTTCATGTCCCTCTTGTATGTAATTGTCTTGTGCGTTTGTTATATGTAATAATATGTAAAGTCCACACAATTCAGGAGTACTATGTACCCCTGCTATGTTGACTATTCTTAATAAGATTGATAATTGAAAAATTGAAATTAGTCCCCCCCTGCTATGAAATTGCAACATGATGTAACCCAACACCAGTTACCATGGTGACAGACGTGTAGTTATGGTCATTGCCCTTTGCGTTTGGAACGGAAGAAAAGAAGACAGAGCAAAAACAATATGTTTTTCGTTCGATAAACATAATTAGGCAATCTGTATGATATTGACACATACTGCTCCACACTAGCACATTTTACATTAGTATTGAATACTTTGCCCGTTTAAAACAGTGTAGAAACAAGCATCAAGCTATTTCAAACGCTTCAACTATAAGTGATGACAAAAATGTGCTAAATGGCTGATTCCCTCATATGGCATATATTTTGTTCACTCACTCACTCACTCACTCACTCACTCACTCACTCACTCATTCTCTCACTCACTTACGTAGCCTAGTCAGCCGTTTCGACAGCATATAATGTTCTACAACCCTAAAATTTCATTGGGTGCCTTTAAGGACAAGAACTGACGTGGAAACTATAGTAGCAGGAGACAGTAAGATTGGACAAAGTAGTCTCCGAAAACGCGCTACAGATTTCCTCACCCGAGGTAATTTTGTTTAACCACCCTGCAAAACTGCATTGCAAAGAAATGACGAGGAAACTATATATAGTAGCAGGAGATAGTAAAACCGGACAGACCTGTGGTAAGAAATGACAGTAAATGTAAATATCAGACAGATTTCCTCATCCATAATATTTTTTTTTTGTTTTACCACTCTGAAATTGTATTGAGTGCCTTTAAGGGCAAGAAATGACGTAGAATTGGAAACTAATTATAAATATATAAAGTAGCAGGAGACAGTAAAATTTGGCAAACCTGTATCCCAAAATGTACTACGAAATGACAGTAAATGTCAATATAAGATAGATTTCCTCATCCAGAATATTTTTTTGTTGTTTTACCACCCTAAAATTGCATTTGGTTGCCTTTAAGGACAAGAACTGACGTGGAAACTATAGTAGCAGGAGACAGTAAAATTGGACAGACTAGTCTTCCAAAATGTACTACGAAATGACAATAAATATCATATCTGACAGATTTCCTTACCCGATATAATTTAATTTTTTTTGTTTAACCATCCTAAAATTGGATTGTGTGCCATAGCGATCAAGAAATGACGAGGAAACTATATATAGTAGCAGGAAATAGTAAAACTGGGCAGACCTGTGCCAAGGAATGGCAGTAAATGTAAAATATCAGACATATTTCCTCATCCAGAATATTTTTTGTTTTACCACCCTGAAATTGCATTGAGTGCCTTTAAGGGCAAGAAATGACGTACAATTGGAAACTAATTATAAATATATAAAGTAGCAGGAGAGAGTAAAATTTGGCAAACCTGTATTCCAAAATGTACTACGAAATGACTGTAAATTTCAATATAAGATAGATTTCCTCATCCAGAATATTTTTCTTGTTTTACTTCCCTGAAATTGCATTGGATCCCTTTAAGGACAAGAACTGACGTGGAAACTATAGTAGCAGGAGACAGTAAAATTGGACAGACTAGTCTCCGAGCTCATCACGCCAGGTTCCAGAGGGAACGTGAAGATGAGCAGCTGCGTCACGTCAGACAGAGATAAATGAACGTAGCGGCCGCTATAGAGTCTAGAAATGGACGCCTGAGATCGGTTTGGGGAAGTGCACAGCACATCACACATGGTGGGAATAAATTGGCACTCGTGGAAGTGGAAACTGATCTATATATTTTTGTCGAGGCAATTTCTTTCTTCATGTCACGTCCGCGGCTGAAAACGATTTAGCAGGTTCTAAGTGAACATTTCGGGCACCAGGCTTTTGCTTTTGTTTGATATTATAGCCATCTTGTATTTTCTGATTTATCTGATGTTATTTATTGTTTTTGATTGTATTTACGTTGTGTTCATCGTTGTTTTAATCAACGTAAAGTTTACTGCAAATACATGCCATAGGGCTAATTGCAAGTACGAACAACATGTATGAAAAATAAAATAAAATACAATTATATAAGAGACTACGTCTATAGCTATGCTACATCCTACAATATAAGTGGTACTTGTTTTGTTGGGTTTGACTTCTTCTTTTGAGGCAGTTTATGTATGACATATGTGGCCACGTTATCAGGTCAGCTGCCTAGTGCTCAAATTGGATTGTCTTGTTTCAATTTCAATAAACTTACAGTTAAAACAGGAAAGTAGTGTTGAAAGAAAAATTATTTCTCAAACTCAAAATTCCAGACGAATCCATCGTCATGTAATGATGATAGCCCTCCTTCAAAATTTGATCTGTATCAGACTATGATTGGGTTTTGAGATTCTGAATTTCCCAAGAGGGGTGGATATTGAAT